AAACATTCTGACTTGAAGTATGGCACAAGAAAGTCCATGTTTCAGTCCTGCTTATTTTGGCAGAACATCACTGACCATACCGAGACATCGATTTTTTCTTTTGAAAATTGACTACCGAGGCTTCAGAAATTGGGAACCAGACAAAATCTTTAAACATGGTGAATTTATTGCCCGTGGAATGTCGTCATAAAGAGAAAAGAACATCATTTAAGTTTTTGAAAGAGGTCTAGGTGCCACCTGGGACATGATCAATTGTCCCAAAACCAATAGTAAATGCTCTTTGGTCCCATATACTACTTAATGACACATGATGCAGTTTGATTTAACGTTACATTAGAGGAAGCTTGGGACCACTGCAGTGCAGCTACCCATAACACGCAACTTCCACAATTCTGAGATAAAATCCAAAAGACAGAATAAACAGTTCAGATAAGTTCAAATGGCAAACAATCCTCAGAGCCTTTTCTATCCAACTGATGTGATGGGTCACAAAGATTCAACAACCAACTTAGCTCCTACTGATTATGTTGCACATCTGGCTACTGTGACTTTCACTTCATATTAATGTACTTAAACAAAACAACAATAGACATTTTATAAAGTCAAAAATACTTCTGCAAAGAGTTTATAAGTGACATTTCAAATGAGATTGAATAAAATGGCAAACAGCAAAGCAAAAAAAAATATGTTAGAATTGCCCTTTCTACCTCTCATACCTAAAGGTACCAGCTACAACACACAAGCTGCACAAAGTGGGGGAGCATACAACTCCTTCTGTGTGCTCAAAAACAGTCCCTTCTGAGTCTTAGTGCCTTTTGGGATTTGTGATACAACTGGTAAATATCAACTACTAAGTTGCATAACATCTCTACTACATCTGTGCTGACTTTTAAGACTTTCTGTTGTTCTCACTGAGGAAAAAAGCTATTTTAGCAGAGATTTTATTAGAATGGAACTATTACCCAAACTAAATAGAGAGCAATGCACTTTGCCTTTGCAAGATTCACAGCCCTGAAACTGTCAGTGTTCTGTAAATTTCTCAGAACAGGGTTGTATATACATATGAGTAAATCTGCTTCTTTCTGTTATCTTTTTAGGTGTGCAATTGTATTTTCAAATACGTTAGTTAAGAGAAGACAAATTATGTATTTGTAAAGTTTATACATATGAGTATCTATTATATTGCACTGGGATTTTTTGCAGTGAAAAAAATAGTTCTGTTTGATAGAGCAAATTGAAATTAGAGTAATTTACACAGGCCTCTACATGCTTTTGGAAATTCTTCTTCCATCTTTATTTTTAGCAGTGCAGTCAGTTATTATAGGCAGTTAAAGGCTGATTAGGTTTGCAGAGTAGTTAAAATGCTAACCATACAAAACAGGAGAGACTACTTCTGTAACTGTAAAAGGATGTGCATGAAGGAGCTTTTTTAATTAACAATTTTGTTGAAGTTTTATTAAAGGACCACACTTCACTGTTCAAAGACTGAAAATAGTATGACAAATGCATGCCTTGAAGGGATGCTATGGGGAAAATTCAGAACAAATCTCACTGGAACTGTACTTCATTATGTCAGATTTGAATTTGAGGCTACCATTGTACACATTAAAATGGTACAGTAAGCAACTTTATTTCATGTTAGATTTCTGTGTGTTTATATATGCAAACACAACGAAATGTCTATATGCATATGCATAAATATATGTAAAGAGGACTTCTTCAGAATTTTCATTTAGATTAGAATCAAATATTAACAGTCTGTGAGGTTAATGAAAGCAAATATAATTTAATTCTTACCATTGTCCCTTAACTATTAATCACTACTGCTGTTTTCTATTTCTATTATTCTGCTTTGGTCCTCTGAAAGATTGATGCTGTATATTGTCAGACCAACAACTAAATGTAGTATTTAAAAGAGTGCTCTGTGTAATCTTCATTTTCAAATCTTTGTATTCATAGTGTTGTACATTTAATGAGGACCATGTTGTCTAGAAGCCTACCTTAAGAAGTAAAAGCTAATGCTGACAACTAATATCTCAACAGACAGGAGTTGGATTTAACACCAGGAATAAATCCAGTCAGCTCACTAGGTTTCAAAGTAATGCTAAATCTTGAGCTATCTAAAACTTGGTCCACAACATGAGTCAAGTAGGAAGCTGAGGGTATGGGAAAACTCTCCAGGATGTTAAATTTAAAGCTAGTGCCCTACTTCCTTTGCCATATCCCGCAACTGTGGTGCAAGCCATGCAATGCAAGTAATCAAAGGATGAATGGTGTCTCTGCCTTTAAAGTTTTCTGCAAGGGCATAGGGATGAATGAAGAGCTTTTTATCTCCTCATTTCTCATTCCCAAAAAGAGATTCCAGTGCTAAAGAAAGGCTGCTGGAGGTTACTGAAGGATTCATGTCTCATTAAAGATCTTTTTATTGAATACAGAAAATCTGTACCTTGAATAAATACGTAAAATAAGACTTTTTGTAGATCCACAGATGGTGCTGTAGTGCACAATTCTTTTATATTTTGTTGTAGTAAGACGAAAAAATGTTCTCTGCACATTCTTTTCCCCTTCCCCGGTTAAAAAGATTTAAAGGTAGTCATTGAATTGCTTCATGTTTACAAAGTCAATGGCCCAATTTGACTTTTTTTTTTATTTATTATTATTTGTTAATTCTAGAAAGGTTGTGACAAAATATCTCTAATATTTTTCAATAAACTATTCTAATACTGATGATTTCATCAATGTCCACTTGTTCACAAACACATTGATCTAATAGCAAATCAATAGTGGCAAAACAATTATGTTCTCAAAGTTAAGGTGAATCATTGCTTTCTATAAACTGGCAAAAGTCAGAAAAAAAAAACAGGTAAACTCAACAGAAGCTTATTTATTTTATAAAGAAAAAGAGGCTTATTTATTTTATGAGAAAAAGAAACATATATGTTATCTCTAAAGCACAAATTCTTTTAGGAATAAGAAGCAATACCAATCATAAATAAACTGTTTTTACAAGCAGTTTTAAAATATTTTTTCTTTAAGTCAAGCATCTCTTCCATTGTAGTAATCTATCTTAAAGTTGTTTAAGTCAAGAGTCTTATAATTTATAGATATCCTTGCCTGCAGGAGAATTTGTAATTTTTTTCAATGGACAACCTTCATATGAGACTCTGCCTACCTCTTAAGCCCATCCCTTGCTGCTATGTTTATTTTCTGAGTAGAGAAGATATGTTTTCTTTCTATTTTCTAGCACAGAAGAATCACTATAATTTTGTTTCATAAAATATATGGCTATATATTTTAAATCACAAGTTATTTTGAATATTAAGATATGGTCTATGCATTTCATATGCTGCTTTTAACTTGGTACTTCAATTTGACAGATGTGATGAGCTAAGACAAGTCAGAAAACCATCTGTGGTAACACTTAGAGCTTCTCAAAGTACAGTCCATACACCACTCATTCTACCGGAATAAAGTCAAAAAATAATCTATTTTCCTCTTAAAATAATAAAAGAAAAATAATCCCTTCTCAGTCATGGATAGCTACCCAGCCATGACTTACTGCTATATGAATCAACACCAAGGATTGCAGGATTAGAGTAATGAGTTATCATTTAGCTCAGTGAGGCACTGAATTTCATCCATTTTCTTTTCCCCATAGTATATATGGTAAAAGGTAGAAGACGAGGCATCATTGTTGAAATGAGTGAGCACATGCATAGTTGTCACATTTTTGTGTGAGGTATATCCCTGCATTATGAAGCACAGTGCAGTAAGACTGTGAATCAGTGGTACAGTACAAATAGTATACATGTTCAGGAACTCTAGGACACACAAAGCATGTTCTTAGAGAATGCATTGCAAGCCTGTCTGACAGTCCCATAAGAACTGGGGTGCTGGTGAGAAGCTCGTGTTTTGAGAAAGTTTGGAAGAGCACCCCCATAATAAATGGTGATGACAGTGTCATGAGTGAGACAGAAAACCTGCAATAGCAAGTGAAAAAAATGTTTACATTCCATTTGAACAAAAACGTTTGATGAAAGAAAACACTGCCAGGAAAATCAAGGTACATGGATGATTTATGTATGCAGTGCAAAAAACAGTGTGTTGCTGCTGCTACTAGTCACAGAGATAGTGGTCTCTACCAGCACTGATTCTGGTGGTAACAGTAATTAAGCAAATGATAGCAGAAATACTGACACTAGGAAAAAAAAATGTATATACAAAAAAAGTAGCATAAATAGTCTGCTGTAGTCACAGAAGACTAAAGGTAACACTCATGTAGGAAACTCTGGGACAACTCAACTCAAGAGAAAACAAAAAGACAACCTTTCAGAGATGAGATGAAACTCAGAGCTACTGATATGACAGTTAGATTATCTGTCACAACCATTGTGACTAGGTATGATGCCTGAGCAAGCAGGTTTGAGAAAACCAGTGCCACTGACACACACTTTTTGTTCAAACTTCTTAATACAATACAGAATCCTGTTCTTTTCACATAAGGACAAGCATTAAGGACACATTGATTTGATTTTTACTCCATCCTGAAACACAGTTTGTAAACTAAATAAGGAGTTCATGACCTGACCTGCCATCAAGACCTCAGTAGCTTAAAAAGAAATTTAATTTGCTCTCTGTATTCTTCAGGGATAACAATGTGAGAATGTGAGAACATTACAATGTGCCAGTTCACTAAAAATGCACATAGACAACTATATACGGGATGAGAGAGAAGGCCACTGAAAACATGAATGGAATTGAACCATGGTCCTTAGCAAAATCTGTACCATTATTAGATTTGCACAAATTAACTATAAGCTTTCTCAAATATTTCCCCTAATTTTTTTCTTCAGGTCTGAGTAAAAATGTCACACTTTTCTTAGAACATAATAATTTGTATAGGAGAACTGAAGGGTGCCATGAGACTGATCTGCGGAAAGCAGGTCCTTTCCTGCACTCCAATAAGTAACTTATAAATAATGTTTTGCTTTCACAGTTACCTGTGCATTTCTTGATATTGCTATTTCTTTTTCCATGGGATCCTAACTTGCATCCAAAGTTCTCTTCCCAAAATTCTGCAAACCATACATTTCTTCGATTGTTAGCAAGCGTTCGGCTCCGAAAATATCTATCAAATCCTACATCCAAGAAGAGAAGTGAGAAAAAAAAAGTATTAAAATACGAAACAGCATAAAAGCATTCATTTAAAGATGATAATGCATTTTGTATGAATTTCATAGTAAGAAAAAGCTTTAGGTGCATTGTAGATTTATGCTCATGTGCATATCTAAGATTAAAAATTAGCATATTCTTTACTATTTCATATTTGCCATAGAACAATGTATTTTTAAATATCTACAGTAGTTAACGAGTCTGTAAAGTTCCAGCAGAACTTTATAATTAAAAAAAAAAAAAGCAATGCAGATGGATAAGGGAACAGCTTAATTTTTAATACAACAGATGACCCAAATAAAGAATTAGATACATACAAGAAATTAGAAAAACTTTAAGTACTACCAACTAAATATCATGATTCAAATAAATTTCTTCCCATGACCACCTAAAATCACTGTGTACTTCTCTGTTGAACCTAAAGACTTCCAAGTCACTTAAGCTTCCCACCTAGTTGAGAAACAATCCCTTAAACCTGATCATTTTCTGCACCAGTTTTACGCCAAAAATCCAGCCTTAATGAAATTATGAGCAATATACCATTAAATCCTTCATAAAAATTACCATGGGGGTAAATTCTTCAAGCAGCATCAATAGCGCCCAGCTTTTTCAGTTGTTTACCAGCTTAGAGCACTTATGTCCAGGTCTCACTATGTCTTCACTCCCTCACTGGAATGAAGTGGTTCAAACCAAAAAGATGCTATATACACCACATCATAAAGTTTGTTAATATAGTGGATTCTTAAAGTAAGAATTATAAAAAATTTAGGCAAGGAAAGCAGAGTCTAGATTAATCTTCTCCCATGAGAATGAGCTGATTCATTAACATCCATCTGATGCTTTCTTTTTTTTTGTCCAAAAGAACCACCAGACTATGGTTAAGAAACTCTAGTGCTCTAATTATTAGCAATGAGTTGTTTAATTGCAGATTCAGCATCTCCTTATCTTCAAACTATATTAAAAATAAACAAAACCCATTGAAACAAGTACTCGCTCAGTTCTTTAAGAAAGTAATTGCTTATACATTTGAGAAAAAAAATCAGGCTCTAGTCCTGAAAGAATGCAAACTTCACTTAAGTCAGAGTTTTGCAAAAATCTGGAGGACAGCCAGATTTCAGACATAGCCTCATGCTCAGTTTTCTTTAGGTGTTCTGCTCAGTAATTAAAGACATTTAACTTTACCCCTACACTGATAAGAGAGTGAGGTGCCTAAGAGCTAGGATGTTAGAACATTGTCAGAGAATTGTTTTTTTGTGCCATTGCATTCCTACCATCTATAGATGTTCTTTTGGGCAGGATGGTTACTGCTCCTTCTGCAATCTCTTCCTGATGTTGAACTGGTGAAATTTTTGACCCCCAACTATCTGAGCCAATCCACAGGAAATGTCCAGATTGATTAGCTTTTTTGGCTGCTTCCAGTATTCGCCTGAAAATAAACAAATAAATCACTAATTAAACAAACTGCAATTACTAGGAATTTTAGAATCCCCAGCATTAATTCTGGCTATGCATAACTAAGTTTACACTAACCAGTTAGCCACTGATTTAATTTGGACAATCTAAAATATATTCAACAGCAGGTGCACTGAACTTAAGCTACTGTACTGTACCTTTTGTTTCCTTTTTAGCCATATTTGTCTAGTATTCTTATTGGTTTCGGACACCAAATAACAATCTATTGCAGCTGCTCTTATAGGTAAGAACTTGGAACAAGTTAGTACTGTTCACTGGGTAAAAAAAATGGGCTGGATGGCCAGGCCCAAAGAGCTGTTGTGAATGGAGTTAAATCTGGTTGGTGGCCAGTCACAAGTGGTTTTTCCCTAGGCTGCACTTGTATTGAGACCAGTTTTGTTTTAATATTTTTATCAATAGACTTGAGGGGATTGAGTGTACCCACAGTAAGTTTGCAGATGACGCCAAGTTAGGCAGGACTGGTAGGAAGGCTTTGAAGAGGGATCTGGATAGGATGGATTGATGGTCCGTGTCCAGTTGCATGGCATTCAGTGAGGCTAAATGACAGGTGCTGCACTCGGTTCATAACCGCATACAGTGCTAGAGGCTCTGAGAAGAGTAGCTGGAAAGTTGCCTGGCAGAAAAGGACCTGGGGATGCCGGCTGAGAGCTGGCTGAACTTAAGCCAGCAGTGTGCCCATGTGGCTGAGAAGGCCAACAGCATCCTGGCCTGCATCAGAAATAGCATGGCCAGCAGGACTAGGAAATTGAAGGTTCCCTTGTCTGTGGCACTGGTGAGACCACACCTCAAATATTGTGTTCAGATTTGGGCCCCTAACTACAAGGAGGATAATGAGTTGCTCGAATGCATTCAAAGGAAGAGCCACAAAGCTGGTTAAGGGACTAGAAAACAAGACATAGAAGGAGCACCTAAGGAAACTGGGGTTGTTTAGTATTTAGAAGAGGAGGTTGAGGGGAGACCTCATGACTGTCTACAACTACCTGAAAGGAGGTTGCAGCAAGGAGGGTGCTGGTCTCTTTTCTCAGGTGACAAGTGAGGAAATGGCCTCAAGTTGTGCCATGGGAGGTTTAGACTGAACACGAGGAAGAATTTCTTCACAGAAAGAGTGGTTAGGCATTGGAACAGGCTGCCTAGGGAAATGGTGGGGGTGCCATGCCTGGAGAGATATGTGGACATGGCACTTAGGGACATGGTTTAGCAACAGGCTTTGGTAGTGTTAAGCTGATGATTGGACTTGATGATCTTAAGGGTCTTTTCAAACCTAGATGATTTTCTGATTCTAGTTATCCACGCAACAAAGGAAAAGCACGTGTTGTAATTTTAACTGAATTTCTTATCATCAGATTTCCCATTATTTTTACACTGGATTGAATCTGAAACCTCCCATGCTACTCTATTCTGCTCCAGCCAATTGTGTATCTCTGTGAAGAGAGAACATCTTCAACATACAAAATTAGGAAACAGGCACCTAATATCATCTTCATTCGCAAACATGATCACTGCTCGAGCATTTGGAGTTTCCAACAAGCGCTTGATGATCTTTTCAAATTCTCCTGGTCTTGGCTCCCGAGGGATTTTGAGTGACTGAGCAATGCAAACACCACCTGAGACAAATTAAAATGAAATAATAATAATAATAATAATAATAATAATAATAATAATAATAATAATAATAATAATAATAATAATAATAATTTAACACTTAAATATTCACATTTTCCAAGATTTAGATAATCCATTTTTTAGCAGGTAGCCAAAAAAGCAAGATGCTCATCTGATATAAGCCAGCACAGCTAGTCAAACATTGCCTTATCTATCTGCTTTGAAATATGCATTATACAAATTAACACTCTTAATACTGCATTAAAGATTACAACTCAGTTACCTATTATTTTATTGTTTATATAGAATTTAAAACAACATCCTTAGCCAGAACTTTGAGCACTGTGCTGTGGCTCAGTTGGACTGTGTTCCACAGACTTACCCTGATTTGTCACAGTTGAGAACCCAAGTTTGTCCTAGGATTGCATTTAAGCACAGACCTGCAATTTGACAGTTATCTTATGTTCATAATGTGGCTCTTTGGCATCAGAAACTATCATACATCTCTGCTTCTTCAGCAGAGAGTACAAGGTTAACAATAAATGCTGTGGTTACAGAATCAAGTAGGGAACTTGAAATCTTCATTTATGAATGAATAAATACAAATCTCTTCAAATTGTTATTATGACATTCTTAATTAAGTTGCCTTAATTATTTAAGAGGTGTGGGTTGTCACTGAAATTACTAATCAGCAAATGAACGCAAACTCAGAGATGATATTTATATCTCTTCCTGACGGGAGGAAGACGTTAATTGAAATCTTTGCATTTTACCTGTCCTGCTAAAATGGACAATTTTCTACAGAAACTCGGTGACTTCTAAAGGTTGTCACAAACCAGTGGAGCGGATTCTCTGGTTCCCAGTTACCACACTGAGGATACTAGGAGAGAAATTCACTGAGTCTGTTTCATGAAGAAGAGAGTCCAGATTATCACTAACTTCCTGCGTCACAAGCAATCTTTCAATGATTATTTCCTGATTTATTTTAATTATTTTTCTTTAAGAACTATTGCCCAGATTTTCATTGATACATCTAACAGCAAGGTTTGCTGTTGCCTGTTGTTATTTCCAAAATAAGAGTCTTTTATGGAGAATCTGGTCATTAATAAAACCAGAAAATTAAGAAAATTAGAAGAAGTTTATTTCTCACAAAAAGTGATGTGTTACTAGAGAAAGGAAAACCAAATGATAAAATTTGCATGCCAACATCTGAATGCTTCTACACTGAAGATGGCCTACAGTGTGAGCAATAATAAAAACATGCTTTGGAGAAGTTGTTCTATTTCTAATGGATGCTTGTGGTTATTTGTGGATTTTTAAGATCATTTAGTCATATACGTCTGTATATTGCACGTAATTATACAAATAAAATCACAGCTGCCTGTATTGTATTGGAGAGCCTTTCCAACTTTCTGAACAGTCTTGTCCATTGTATTAAAATATCAGCTTTATGCTTTTCTAAAGTATTTCACAAATATAGATGAAACACACTATCAGTGATAGGATTTAAACAAAAACCAAGATTCAACCAGATGCAGCTTCTTCATGAAGAAGCTACAGAAGCTACTTGTGTTAGTTCTCTTAAGGTGAATGTATTTAATGTTTAAGAAAAACAAACAAACAAACAAGAAAAAAGGTATTTATGAAGTCTTTTTAATTCCTTTTGATCATATGTAAAATAGTAAAATGCTGTGTGTTCATTATCACAATCTTCTGCCTTTGCAGAATCTCATCGACCCCAATAGTTCTCTGCACAGGCAGAGACTAAGTTTGAACCAAATTTAAACATGTAGTAAATGAAGCACGGAATTATCAACTGCCTGTATAAAAATAACAACTTTAAAATGAAATCAGCAGGTTTTAGTTACAGGCAAACATATCACCTTTTTCATCTATGCATCACTTTCTGAGTATATTATACATTTATCAGTTTGGGAGATAAAGACTACCACATAGATTTATCCAGAATTTTTCTCCTTTACATGAAAAAAAAATAATATTTGCAAATCAGAACATCTGTCATTCCTAACAGAAATTGTTTGTACACATATCTTTAACATCCATAAATAGTACAAAGATATATAATAAATAATTTACTATGTCAGCCTTAACATGGAATATAGTTCCTTTTTCTGGCAACACATTTCTCTACATTTTTATGAACAGCCCTGCTCCCCATGACAGCTAATTTGCTAATAACAACAGATGAGACCATATAGCAGGTGACCCTCATATACACCAGGTATCTTTGACAATCCAGTAATGAAAAGATAGACGCCACACTATGAAAAGCTTCAGCCAATTTTCTAAACCGATATTAAGCTACTATGATAGAGACTTAAAAGTCCTTTACTGTAACCTTTTTCTCAAGTAATGGGGCTGCTCATATGTCAGTGAAATGTTAGAGAAATATTTAGCAGTCATCCTGTAAATTTAAGAAACAGCAATTCACTCCTAAAGAAAGAAAAGCTGAAAAACAGTGCTAAGTTCTCAACTGTCCCCAAAGTCAGCCAGGCACAAGAAGTAAAACAGATCCTAATAAAGTGACATCAAGGAATAATTTGTTACCTCATAAATTTTGAGAGTATGTTTTCCAACCATTTCTATTCATGCAATGGCCCTTAGGAAAAAAAAAAAATCTCTCCCCATGAAATTCAAATGCAAATATTACAAAATGTGTAAATGTAATATACTATCTACTGCCATCTACAAACTGTGTGGAATGGATATCAAGCAATGAAAAACTGCAGTATCTCAAAAAGCTATTTTCAATGAAAATGATATAGAAGAAGCACCATTCCATCATTGCAGCAGCTAGTTCAATCATGACTGTACTGTGCATCTTAGCATCTCCACATGTTAAGAATAGGAACAAAATAAAATGCACTTGAGCCTTGTTGCTACATTTATAATGAATTGTGTAGGCGATCTCGGGCATACAAAACTCTCTGTGTACACCTGTATCTATATATTGCATACACTGCTCTGGCTCAAACAAATAACAGAGTATCAATTTCCAGGCAAAGATGAAATGCTAGATCCGTAAAGGTACTTACAACATTTCACTACCTAACGTCTCAACACCGTGCTGCCTTTGAAATCTACAACCTGGGCTAGGTGCCCAGGCACAGAAAGAGCAGTGTCTAGGAACAGGATTCGTAGGAACCAGTAGACTGAATACAGAATAATTAGAGCTAACTCCAAAATAGCTAGCAGAGGTACCGAGAAGATGGGTTCTAAATCCAGTATTTAGGATACAGTTGAAAAAATGGAAATCTCTCCAAATAAAGATGAAAGAGGGTTTGAGAGCATGTGTCTTATATTTGATACCAGTAGATTTACCATTTGTTGCAGAGATGCCAAAGGACAGACAGTTCAGGCACCTAGTGCCAACAGAGGATTTATGGCTGTGAATCATAGAAACAAATCATGTCTGCATGTTTTACCCTGTCAGCATTTCTCACTGACTTGGCAAGATGACTGCTTGTCCCTGATGCTGGCTTCTATACACACCTTTCTAGGAGTGTGGCTCCAAGAGCTAACTGTCTTTGTACTTAAAAAGGAAATTCTATGTTCAAAGCTGGTCAGTGAAAAGGATTTATGAATGGGCTTCAAAGGGTGTTGCACTAAAAGACGTTACTGAGACCATGCAAGTTAGCCAGTCATACTCATTTCGTTTAGTTCAAGTAAGAACAGGGACTGGTACCTATTCTTATATCTTTCCTAAGTAATATATATGACATAGAAGATGAAATTAAGGGTTTGCACCTGTCACACACTTTAAAAATATTAAGATGGCACTGATGGATGCTGGTTCTTCACCTCCTCTGTGCTAAAAATAAAAAAATAAAAAATAAAATAAAAAAAAAAGGGGGCACAAAATCAGTATCTGTCCTCAGATCTGTAAAATGAGGGTATAAATATGGACAACACTATATTAGTGATGATAAGTATATACTTGCCTTTTGTCTAAAAGTTATCAAATGTGACATCCGGGACCTGGGACCAGGGGACCACGGAGGGAAGGAGAGCAAAGCTGGGAGCTGGAAATTGGGTTCAAGGCAGACGCTGCCCCATTCATAATCCAGAGCTCAGTCCAGCCACTCTCCACTATGGTCAACAGTTCATAACTCGTGCTTTTAAAACTGGGACATGGTCAGCCCCAATCTACAGTAATATGTTGTTGTTTTCTCCACTGTGATAAAAATCACATTTTAAATTGTTCCATGCTTGGTTTGACTTGCTTACAGGTGCTCTGTATAACACATCCTGTGGGAAATAGAATATCACCAAATGAAAAACTGGTAGATTTTGAAGATATTGTCAGTATGATGGATCAATAGGCTTTTTCCTTTCTTTTGTGCTCCTACAACGATTCCTCCAATGGAAAAAAAAAAAATAGAACAAAATAGAAATGCAGTACTTACATCATTTTAGTGGTAAAACTTATGGTGTTTTAAAATGATAAATATTCATTTTAGCTCTCATGAGTTCTGTAGTCACAAGATAGCATGCTAATTGTAAACCATTAAATACTCAAGTATGCGGAGGTGGGTGTCAGAAGCAATGTTGAATGTGTTTTTGGAAAATAGCAAGCAGACTTGGTAGAAAACTAGCACTAATAAATGAATTTCCTAAGGACTGAAAGATCACACTGAATGTAACTACAAGGACCATATTCTCTCCTGCTATGGCTAGGATCCAGCACTACATTATGGACCAACTAAGTGAGATACACAGGAAAGGACATCACTGTCTTTGTACCAAAAAAGGTGAAGGCAGAGTTTCAACTCAAGAGTGTTCCATGATGGGACTACAACCATACCACTTTACCCTTAAAACTATTTTATCTTCCCATTTATGTACTTAGCACTATCACAGTGAAAGGGAAAGGGATCAAGGTACATACTTGCTTTGTCTTATTTCCTAGAATAAGGAGGCATGCTTCACCTGACTCAGTATCTAACGTTACAAGTCAGTTATTTCATGGCATCTTCATCAC